AAGGAGTTCTGCAAGCATTTTCAAGCATTTTCTAAAAGGCTGTAATCCCTTTGGGAAAATAAAATAGTAAAATGAGGGGTAATAAATAAAAAATCTGGTCAAAGCAAAACTCCCACACTTCACTGTATCATGTTTCCTGGTATCTCAAGTTGAGTTTCATATTCTGCTTTTATGATTTCAGGAATCTAAACATGTAATATCAGGGATATAACATTATAGCTATTCTCTCAACCCCATCCTCAAAATTAGGCTCCTCAAAGTTCTTCTTCCTCTCATTTGAAAGCAAATTGCAGCCCAAACTCATCTTGTCTGCTTCACTATGATCCACCAAGACTGTAAAGTCAGCAGTATACCTCTGGGAGATTGGCAAGAAAGAGAAAAACAGCTCTGGCATCCAGGCTGCTAAAATCAGCTAGCCCTTGGTGTCTTGGTGAAAATAACTTCACAAGAAATTTTCCTGTGAAAGTTCCTTTTCCTTATAAACCTTCCCCAAATCACCTTTGTAAAACCTTTCAAACACCCTCTTACTGAGAGGCCCCATGGTTCCCTATGGTGTAGGTTCTCGCTAGTGGCAACAAGCAAATGTATCTAAGTCCCTGGTTCTTTGGCTGAAGGGCATCAATAAATGAGAAAGAGAGTTCACGTCTAAAATTAAATACCTCAAACTCTGCATACATTATCACTCTGCCTATCACCATCCTCAAACCACCATCCTCTCAAAATATCCGCTGTCTTGAATTGTTTATGTTACTCTTCTGGTTTTCTTCTGACCTCCCTGCTCCCCCTATAGCAGTTCTTCCTGCCCCATAAATATAGGTGTGTTCCAAGGTTCTGTTCTTAGCACCTCTTTCAATATCAATGGTTCTTACCCATTTTTGGCTCACAGTATTTCCTTTGAAAATCTAATGAGAACTATGGACTGCTTCCCACATACCATCCTCCCCATATTGTGACCAGAAAATACACATATAATAAAAAATTTGGGGTCAGCCAGTGAGCTCAGGTGATTAGAGTGCAGGCTCATAATACCAAGATTGCTGGTTCGATTACCACATAGTTCAAGAAGCTGTGCCCTCCACAAATAGATTGAAGACAACTACTTGACTTGGAGCTGATGGGTCCTGGAAAAACACACTGTTCCCCAATAAAAATAAAAAAATTTCTTTAAATTTGCAATTTTAGGGAAAGTTTATAGAACCCAAGACTGCCTTCTTTATCCTCTCTCCCATGGTAATATAACGGTAATCCCTTATACATATATGATTCCCAAACCACTAACTTCAATCTTTACTCCTCTCCCAAACTTCAACTAATTGAAAGCATAAAACTGAACTCATTTTCTCTTCAAATCTGCTCAATACTCACCCTGTCATCCTTCCAGTTATTCAGGTTTAAGACATCAGTATCAGTTTTGACTTATTCCTCGGAATGGATTAAATCTGAGCATGTCATCATCTATAGATTCTATCTCTAAGATGTCTTACATCTGTCTCCTCCTCACCCTCTCCTCACCACTGTCTTGGTTTTGCCACTATTGCCTCTCATCTATACCATAGTGCTAGCATCATATAACTGCTCTCCATAAAAGCATTACTCCAGCCACATCACTCTCTGCTTAAAATCCCTGGGCCTTGTCTCTACATTCCCCACAGAATCTTATCTTAACATTCAAGAGTTTCCACAATTCAATCCTAATGAACCTTTCCAACCTTAATCTCACAACTCTCTTCCAGACACATAAAGCTCTTGTCACACTAGATTCTCAATATTCCTCATAAATGATCGACACTTGCCCCATAAAAATGCAGACTTCCAGTTTCCTTTAAAAAGAAAAAAGAAAATCTATTAATGCTAGGCCCAAATTCCTACACGGCAACAACAGGCTGGAGCCGAAAATGTTTTCTCTGGCTCTGTGCAGTCCCCACTACTTCCTACTATCTTGTGCCTAGCAAACTTCTCTTATTTAGCTTTTCTGTCTGGCTCTGTACATAATCTGAGTTTATAACCCTAAACCAGGAAAATATACCTATCCACCCTGGTTCCCAGACTCATTAAGGTTACACTACCTTCTAAGGTTATACTCTAATTAAGGTTATACTACCTTTCCTTCTTTAATTAATTTAGTAAAAATATTACCATGCTGGGGGCCGGCCGAGTGGCGCGATGGTTAAGAACTCGCTTGGGATGCCAGAGGGCCCCGGTTCGGATCCCACATATGAGGGCCAGTGACACT